GAACCAAAATGGTTCAAATTTTCCACAAAGTTAAAAGAAAACATTTTTTAACAAAAAAATAAAATAAAATGAAAAATGTTTGCACTGAAAAAGGGATGACCACCAAAATGTTTTTAACAACTGTAAGGCAGCAACAGGAAACTGAGGCTAAGTACAACCCAGAAGGGGATGTAAAGCCCCAGGGAAGAAAGTCTGCAGGTTTAAAAAACTGCGTTTATATATTTTTGTGCGACTGTGTGAGGATCATTTTTCAAACCTTCAAATGGGTCCCATTGTCATTAAATTTCCAGCTGAAGTAGAGGTTTTGAATGCCAATACAAGAGGAGTAAGTGCAGGGCAGCAAAACCGTGGAGCCATTCATTGCTTCAATCGAAGAAACCTTACCCGTTGAAACCTCTAGTCCATCTACACTCCATACACCTGAAAATTGAAGAGAAAAAAAGTGCAAAGTTTAAAAACATGATGTGTGTTAATTGTGTTTTTGATTAAAAAATGCAATGAAAATGTTACTAAAAACACAAAAAAATGACATTTGCATTATCAAACCAACATACTCAGTAAGTGGCTGAGAGAGAAGGTGTCAGCATTATTTACTCAGACTGAGAACTCAGTCTAAACAAATCAGATATTTTTTACAGCTCACTGTCTAGAATAACCCTATTTGTTCCACATTGAATTACATTCACGTTAATGGAAGATGGGGAAGATGGCGGAAAGTCCTGGAGCTTTTTCAGAAAAACAGAGGCACCAGGAAAGGAGAGTTTAACTTTATTAAAGTGGATAACTTCTCAATAATGTCCTTTAATGATTTTTATTGCCGTTCAAATGAGCCTCTACGTCCCAAACAAGTCGATAAATGGATTCATCGAAATTTTGCAGCAGTAAGGTGCGATGTCGTCTACTGTAGGAAAAATAAAGCTACATTGACTTCTCTGGCCAGAGCCTCCACCAAAGTCTTGCAGCAGTGAGAATAAGCAGCTGTCATTTGAGAAGTGTTCATTTTCAAGATGTGGTTAGTAAGCGCCCAGGGAAACATCCTCTGATGGATGGATGTGTAGATGTTCACTCTGATGGGAGTAAGACCAGTAAGGAGATGCAAAGCCATCTTGAGACCCCATGTTTTTATACAATGGCATTTAATGTTTGCCTCTCTGCACCATACTTCATTTTTTTTCAACTTTGACCCATTGGTCCAATTAGAGACACTACTAGCACCATGTAGTGGTCACAATACACTTTGTCCAGTGAAAAAGAGATGGCAGGAATCCTAGTAAAACGTTTATACAGCAGATCTCATCAGAAAAAATGAGCAAAGTAAAAATCCAAATCATGTTGCACGTTTGAAACAGTAGTCTATTTAAGCACATGCATATTTAGTTTCATAAGGCATACAAATGTGACTGTTTTGCAATTGTTGCAAAATACAACGTTTGTATAGATGAAGGCCTCATTTGAGGACAGTGGGACTATAATTTTGTTACTGATGGTACCATGTGGTTGGACAAATCTGGTACTATTTTGAACAGTTTACAAGCATAATGATTATTGTAATCTGTACATTTGTTAAATCAGTTAACTATACCTAGAAAAATGGTACCCTGGAAAAGCTATCATGAAGTTTCTCAAGTGGCTCAGGTACTCCCCAACAAACATGACATTTTCAGACCCTGTATCCGCATATGAGGACATTGGTTTTAATTTTGCAAAACTAAATAAACAAACAAACAAACAAACAAACAAACAAATAAATAAATAAATAAATAAATAAATAAATAAATAAATAATCCCATGCATCTTGGAGGAAGAGAATGCACATCAAACAAAAACTTGGGTCTCAGGGGGGGATGAACAACATTGAAATGTTGCAAAAATCCAAAAGTTCTTGTGATTTTCTACTGTCACGACTGTCTCTGTTCACATTGCTGTGGACACTGTTTTATGGTAGGACTCTGACCTYGGATCTGGTTTCCACCAGAGCCCACATGGGATGTGATAGGATTGAGATGTGTTCTAACCTCAGTGGTAGCATGTGAGAAATGTAAGGCTTCTATTCTATCAAAAAAGTAAAAAATGTTTTACTGCAAAATATTAGTTACTAATGTTACTAATCTCTTTCATTTACTAAATAAATAAATAAATAAACTGCTTGTTAGTTTTTATAATTTTCTTTTTTGGCATTTGGATTTTGCTAGCTATGTAATGTTGGTTTTGCAACAACAGCTGGTGTAATTCTTAGATTGTTTCTCTGATGTCTCTCCCACACTCTGGGACTATTTATAAATGCATAAATGCTCTCGTCGACACCAGCCTCCTCAGGATCACATTGCACTTGGACATGGTTAGAGTACATGTTGTTGTCTGTGTGTCTGTGAAAACTTTATATCAACTTGTATATAAGAAATGATAACAAAGGACACTGTTTTTTTATTAACTTTACTTTTTTATTATTGAATAAAATCAGTATTTACTATTCGATGTTGGCATTAAAATCTCTTCTTTAACAAGTAATTAAAAAACTACAAGAAATGTATGATAATGCTCATGCAATGCACCTCCATCCTACACCTGATACCAATCTTCAATGTAAAAAGTAAACTAAAGCCAAATGAGTAACATGATTATGGTATTTCAGTCATTTTTGTATATACTACAGAGTATGAACAAGCATGTCAGTCATTGTTTATTTGCCAATGTATTTTTTTTTCATCATCCCACTTGCACAATCAAGTTACTGTTGGCCTCTGTGATACTAATTTTACAGTGAGGTCAGTTTTTCTGTATTGACCATTTATCTATACCGTAAAACAACCTTATATTGATATATACTGTATATATTAAAGTTTGGACTCCAGAGGAGAGAATTGCTTTTTTAAATACTAATACAAATCTAAAATCCCTAAGCAAATGTTAAAAATAAAAATAAAATAAAATAAAAACTTTTTTTAAAATATAGTACTTCAGTAGACGTCACACTCACACATGTATTAGTATCACATTAGCTTCTATTTAAAAGTTGTATTATTGATGCATATTGTCTCTTTTTTATGGTTCTTCTTGAAGGCCAGTCAAAAATGACAGCACAAAATGTCATATATGATATGTTGAAACCAAAATCTGTTGGTGCAGTGCTGGCATAAAAATATGCTAAGTAAATATGAGTTTGGGAGCACAGAGGATCAGTGATTAGAGATTTTTATCTCACATTAAGAAGGTCGCATGTTCAGCTCCCTGCATGGGGTCATTCTGTCTCGAGTTTGCATGTTATCCCTCTGCACACGTCGGTTTTCTCTGGATATTCAGTTGTCCTCCCACAGACCAAAAAACATGCATGTTAGGTTAATCGGTTGCTCTAAAAGTGCCCCTAGTTGTGAGTGAGAGGGTGAATGTCGTTTGTCTCATTTGTCTTTATGTGGCCCTGTGATCAGCTTGCAACCTGCACAGGGTATACCCCACCTTTCTCACAATGACTGCTACAAATAGGTACCAGCTCCCCTGTGACTTGGAAAGAAAATGTGGGTAAAGAAAATGGATGGATGAATGGGTGTAGGAATTTTGTATGTGCACAATACTTGTGAACCGTTTTTGAAATCTGCATGGTCTGTAAAACAAATATGGTGTAATGAAACTGTAGAAGAACACTGGTGAAATCTCTCTCTGAAATGCCTGACTCTGTACATCCTCATCATTAAGTGGAAGCTTGATTGTTTACATATCTAGGAAGTGTCCACTCAAAAACCTAGAAATAGATTTGATACCTTCATGCTATAAATCCTTTCACTTTTCTCTTCATGCTCCTGTACTCATCTGCACTCTTGTTTTTGCAGCATTTTTCCACGTTTAGAGTCACATACTAGTGCTTCATAGAGGTCTTTACATTTGTGTAAGTGTATGTATCTGTGCAGGGAACACTGATATTCACACTTGTGGATGTGCGTACATGAGTAATAGGGCGGGATGTGATATTTTTAGCCCCACTATCAAGTATCTCCTTGTCCCAGTTTGGAAACATCAATATCTGAATCACTGGTGGTAGGAAAGCAACTGAAAGTGTGTGTGCCCTTGAATGATTGTCAAGGTGATCTCTTTTTAATTTTTTATTTATTTATTTATTTTTAACTAGGCCAGATACTGAAGGGTCAATGTATTTCAGAGTGGACACATAAAGAACCGAGAGGACACTGTTACCCATATGAGGAAAAAAAAGAGAGCGATGGGACAGGTGTACACAGGAGGTGTGGGGATACAGAAATGAAACAAATGAAGAAACATCTAATGGAAGAGTTGTAATGTTTAAAGTCATTGAAGGGGTAACTGAATAAAAAAAGGTACGGTTCATAAATGAGTGGCAGCAGTGCAAAGCACTGTGTCATCAGCAGCCACATAACTCAGTGAGTGGAGCTGTTGATGTTGGAAAACGTATGTTCTTATTCACACCTCAGCTCAACACACTGAATGAGGGTAAAGTGATAGCTACACAAAAAGCTAACAACATTTAGAAAATGTATCACGTTTACATGTAGAATACTGAAGGATTATTGCTAACTGCTTTAACAAAACTCAACCAGCTTTCTCTTCTTTGTCATTTCTTATTGTACCGGTACTTTTGGCTGTATGCTGTTTTTTTTTTTTTTTTTCAGATGTGCTGTAAAATTTGGAGTAAAATGTTTGTCAGACTGATGTTTGAGAGCAAATAAAACTGAAAGTTGCRCTTGCATTTTGTTTGAAATCTTTTTGACTAATTAACTTACTGTTTCCTGAAATGTTTTCAGCAAAACTCCTTTGTAAACTTAAAGTGTTATTTTGTTGAGTTTAGACAATATAAATCTCTATACTTTTACATTTTAAATGATTTATTTATTGTGAGGTAAACTAAGTGGTTTGTCTTAGAATAAAAAACCCTCAAAATGTCATCACTTGTAAGATTAATTTATTTATTTATTTACATTACAGGACTAAAAAGTCTGGCACATTAAAACATTAAAAAAAAAGAAAAATGGAACAAGGTGTAATGGAGACATCATTAGTATTGGTGAGTGGGGGAGGGATAAAAAAATAAATTAAAAACTATATGAGCAAGGATCATGTGGACTCATTGTGCTCCCTAAAAATAAATAATAGGGTTTATTCAAACACCCCTCAGATGTAGAACACCAGGTCTGAAACACTGTTCTAAACTTCTCAGAATCCATTAAGGGTTCCCCACGTATTATATTTATTTAACTGCTCAGAGTTTTGCAGTGACCTAAATAGTGCAACGATGTCTCTAATTCAATGCCACAGGCCTCACACAGACCATTATCGTGGAGTCTTATCACCATTTTGTGGAGGTTAATGTAGACATCATGGTGACACCTCAGCAAAGAATGCAAATACTTTTTAAGTTTATTCATTACTTTTAAAAATCAACATAAATTCAATGTACAAAAAGAATACAAATCACAAATGAAATTAAATGAAAGGTAGCATAAGAAGAAAAAATCTTATTATATTTGTCATTTTTTCTATGTTTGCATATCTGATGTATTTGAGTCACTCATATACAGGAATTTACAAGAAGTAATGGAATTGAAATAAAAATAAATAAAATAAAGACCACACACACACACACACACACAGGAAGTTCTCATCAGAACAAATGCTTAACATTCTCAGCTTTAGGAGGAAATATGAGTATTTAGTTGGAAAACTGACCATATGCATGTTCACAGAACTCATATTGTGGTTATTTTGTTCAATAATCAACAAAAAGTGCTTAAAATGTGGCCTATTTACCCTTATTAGAACTGTATCACAGAGTTTAGAACAGGTTACGTATACCAATAAAACAGAATTTACATATTGAATTTACATATTCTATTCTATTCTAGTTGTAAAAATATACATACTGACTGCTGATATGGCCATGTTTCTGCAATGACAATACATTCAAACAGCTGAACAATTCTATTGTTTTACATTATCATGGAGCAATTTGATTGTGTTTAGTTTAACAAACATATGTGAATAAAAAGTGAGGGAGAGTACTACCCCTAAATATTTTAAATGTGCATTTGTGGAAGTTCAGATCAGTGGAAAAAGGATGGACTGCCCTGGAATGAGGAGCTACCTTATATAGATGAATTTAAGGATCTCAATGTTTTGTTCACAAGTAAGAAAAGAAAGGGGCACAAAATCAACAGAAGACAGGTGCAGATTCTGCAGTATTACAAACTGTACCAGTCCTTGTGRCAAAACTCTCTGTTTACTGGTCTACCTACGTTCTCATGGCTTATTTTCTTTGCTACGCTTATTAATGGTCAGAGACTATATGTGGTGACTGAAAGAACMAGATTGCAGATACAGGTGGTTAAAATGAGTTTTCTCTGCAAGTTAGAGGGGCTCTCCCTTCAAGATAAGGTTAAAAGATACTTGGAGTAGAGTCACTTCTACTGCCCATTGAGAAGAGCCAGTTGAGGAGGTTCCAGTATTTAGTAATATTGCACCCTGGACACCTCATATGTACTAGGCATGTCCAACTGAGAGGGGACCCACAAGAAAGACCCATRAGATGCTGTAGAGATGTATCTTGGCTGGCTTGGGAACACCYTGGAATCTTCYTGAAAGAACTAGGAGAGGTGTCTGTGTAACAAGATGTCTGGGCCTCCATGCTTAAGCTTCTGCCATCACAATCTGGCTCCAGAACAAGCAGCAGATAATGGACAGATGAATGGATGGATAAATGGAAGTCAGACTTGTATTTAGCATTATCTATTATACTGGGCTTATTGAATTAGTTCTCACTTTTGCTTTGTTCACTTGGCAGGGGTCGTTTTCCATCAAAAATAAGAATTGCTTGTAAGTGTCAAGATTTGTTGTAAAACTGCTGGCTTGTTTTAATGAACTGATCTGACCTGATCTCTATAATTCCAGGTCTTTAATGAAGGCTAGAATCATTTTGGCTGATCCTAGCCTTCTTTTGTGGGCTGAGTTTTCACTTTTACCTTGGGTATATACAGAATGCCATATTGTAAGATAAACAGACTGAAAAAATCTTTTATACCAGCTGCTATCAGCCTGATCAATTCCAGGTTTAAATCATAATGATTAACATGGAATTCTTTTATTTATTTATTTTTTATGTATATTGTTTTTTTTCCACTGCTGTCTGCACAACAAATTGTCTCCTGGGGATTATAAAGTTTTATTTGAACTGACAGCTAATATAAACACTTTAAACAACAGGTCACCTCGTTGACTGACCTGCAATGGCATCACCTTCTTGTTTTTCTTGTTCTTTTTTTCACTTTCTTTTTGTTCTCTTCTTTATCGTTGACTTCTTCAAATTCATAATTCTTAACTTAATTTTAAAAGATGTGTCAACAGCATCTCAATATATTGCATTTTTTGTGATCTATAGTA